CATTATGTTATCTCCCTGTTTCTTTTCAGAGAAAGTATATCTAATAGCTTTAGGTTAACAAATGCAATTTTTAGCTTTTTATTTATCATATCTTTGATTTATTACATTAGATTTGATGAGCATCGAGAGCAGAATGGAGTGCTTTGTTTTCTGCTCCCAGTAGTCGTTCTTGATAGATTTTATATTTACTAAACCATGAAAGCTAGAAATATAACAAAGTTTTCAGGAGATGTCTTGGAGTAGTAGGAATAGCTGATATTCCGTATTCTTTTTTGGAACCAACACACAACAAACAATCATTTGTAAACAAGCGCGAATATACTAATATCTTGAAAGCACTGAATGATTATCTTGTACAGTACTGGACCGATGTTGCTATTGAAACTGTCGATGGTGGTATAGAGTGTTTCTGGTACGATCTTTTTGGTAAAATAGTATTATGATCTTCTTTAGCCGAAACCTGAGTAGAGATATCAGTTCCTTTGTTCTGATCTCAACATGTTTATTCCTACGTATAGTTTGTCAACATATCAATGAACATATGTATTGAGACTGGAGTTTTAGGAAGAATTTTGGGTACGATAGTGATGCATGGGATTGTAAAGCAAGCGACAATATTGCGTTTGTAAAAAAGCGTTTAGAAAGTGTAGGAATATCGGTTCAATGTGGTTAGCTGCAAAAGTTTTCCAAATATTCATGCTCGTGTTTTAAAATATTTAATGTAGCTAGTTTGTATTACAGTTTTCAGTAGATACAAAGTTGAGGTATGGAAAAAAATATTTTGTATTATATATGAATATCTATTTCAAAAAGGAACATTCTTGACTCTATGTGCAACTTACCATTTGAATATTATTTGCATTATGAACATCTGGTGAGAAATGCTTCTAAATTTAAGCACATCCATCGTATCATAAATAGTATCACTTAATTATTTAGGTAAATGTTTGAAATGGCGACATCTTGATTTCGATCCATCCTTCCTTAATTCAGATATTCTTAAAAATTGGCGCTGTGTAATGCATCCAAATTCTTCATTTCGTTATTGTTCAAAATTAGAAGAATTACCTAAAATTGAAGAAAGAAGTCTGGTGATACCTTCAAGTAAATCTCGAGTTAGTAGAAACCAGAGAAATGCAAAGAAAGCAAAAACAAATAAGTTAGTCAAACTCTATCTATTTCGAGTTCATGCACTTTTCATATGTAATTTTTCTCAGATGTTAGCTACTGAAAGTTATATGAATGCGTTACTCGTTAAGTCAGAAGATGTAGCTAAATTTAAGATTTCTAAGAATTCTGGTGGTGTATTTTTAGTTAGATTTCAGTGAATCCCAGGTGGCTGAAACTCAAAAGCATTTGGTCCATGCTTCGTCATCACGTCAGAGTTCACGTCCAACACGGCAGGCCGCTCAACGAACCAGCTATCGGGAATTATCCGAATCCGATAATGAAATGGAATTATATTCAGTGCGTCACAAATTTAAATCGTTTTTATGAAAAAAAAGTAGAGCTGTTTAACATTCTGTGCAATGCAATTTGTATTGAGCTTGGATTTCTTACTTAGGTCCATCCTTTGCATATGAGAAAGCGATTTTATACTAAAAAATAATGAGCTGTTTTTTCATGAGAAGATAGTATTTAATGAAACAGATCGAAACAGGAACATAATTGTTGGTCAGAAAAGAATTCAGAAAGGGATAGTTCTATTAAAGTTAGATTATCCTATGTTTGCTAACTTATGATTCAAGCAGCTGTTTGAAGGTGTAAAAAATCAGAATTTTTTTTTAAAATTTCAGACCGATATGGATATGATTTTTGATGAACAGCCAGTAAAAACGAAGGTTAATTATTTAGTATTTGTAATTGAATTTTGGCAACTAACATACAGATTTTTTAATTGGTTATTGCCAAATTTTAATTAGTAAAATTAAATAAGGACATATTTTTAGGCATTATTGAGAAAACTTCGGGAACAAGCCATATCAAAAATGAATGTTGTAGAGGAAAAACCAGCAAAAAATGTTTTCCTGACTCATGATATATACCAATCAACTAGCTCAACGGGCGATCAAGATCAAGAAGTCTCGTCGGCACCATTAACAAGCACATTAAGGAAAGAAGTAGACTGTTTGACAGACTCACCGCAGGCAAAACGTAGTAGGAATAAAGGTTTCGATTAAAGATTTCTACAATTGATGAGATTTTGTAAGTCTTTTGAATTCTTTGCATTTCTAATTGTTTGTTAGAATTAATTCTTTAGTTAATAGTGACTCGTCGGCAACACCAGGATCAAAATTCATTTTCGTTGCTTCTGGGTCAGAATTACCAACTGAAATTGCTGTCGTCTCCAAGGTTGTATCTTTCTCCCAAAATGTTTGTGTTTATTGCTGCAATGACGTTCGATTTTTCGTTTTTAATATTTGTGTTTGAGGACGCTAGAGACAAAATGCAAGAAATGTTCCGGAAATTAAATCACTTGGTGAATTTTTTCAAGCCGTCAACATTCGAAAAAAAGGAATTAACAAGTGTTGAAGATGTAATTGATTTTGATCTCCAGGCGTATTTTGTTGCTTACAAAGCTGCTTTAGACCAAGTATGTCTACTTCTTGCTACTTGTGTTTGCCAACTCTGCCTGAACAGATGTGTGGACTAGGTTTGATGCAATTAAGTGTAGAGAGATATCTCATTGTGCATAGCGAGACATTTTGGTATGACGTATGGGTTGAAGCTTACGAATTGGGAATGGGTATGTGCAGTATGAATTTTATTGAAGTATTGTGTTTATATTAGATTCCATCAAACTTCTGTACCTCTGTAGAAGGCAAGTATTCGCTTCGTTGTTTGATGTAGGTGAAGTAAAGAAAAAAAGGTAAAGCTTCAAAGTCTTTTTCGTTACCGTTATTACAAGTGTTATGGATTTGAACAAATGTATGCATTTGGATTTATGGGCAATTATTTAGTAAAAATTGTTTAGTTAATCGAGGAACAAGTAAAGAAACAGTTAAATGAACGGATGAAAACGTGTATAGAAAATGTTGTTACTATGGTCGAGTGGACATGTCCAGAGGTCTTTATTTCAAACTTCTGCTTCACGTCTTTATCTTATTCCATTCCATTTTATCTGTTTCTGCCTTAAATATATATAGAAGTCGTTTTCTGTTTCGCTTTAGCTATAAAACTTTTATAAAATTTCGTTCAGAATTTTTATCTCGATGTTGACTTAGAAAATTCAATTAGTCGACATCCTACTTCACATAGATCGCTATTAGGAAAGGTTTTTATATTATGTATTTATATTGCAGATAAGGGGTACTGTAACGGAAGAAAATGTTTTCGAGAAACTTGACGAATTATTAAAATCAATTTAAATTCTTGTTATGGAAATTCTATTCATTCTATTTTTTTTTCATTACTCATTTTTACTCTACTTACTAGTCATATTAGAACATATTTCATTGAAATATTTTCCCAGTGGATCTCACATACATAAGAATTTATAAGTAAGGAAAAGGCTTGTGCAAATATGTTGCTGATCAGTTTAATGGTTCCTGGTAAATTCATAATTTTTTTCATGTTTTCCTGTAGAATAAACTTGATGATTTTAGAGCCAAAGTTTTTTGCACTTTTTAGGACATTTAACAGCTGTAACATGAGGTCGTGACTTTAATCATATTTGTGAAGCAGTTGCTATCTTTTTGTAATTTCATTCTCATTTTTTTACCGTAACTTGCCTCCACCCATGTATTCCAAGCAGCTAAGATTAATGTAACAATAATTTGCCCTTTTAATATAAATTTTTTGTTTAGTAGGAAACCCAGTTTATGATCAACTGATTTATGAATTGAATTTTTTCACATTGCTTAATATAACTGTTGCACATTTTTGCATCCTGAAAAATTCTTACTTTTATCATTTCTTTGTTATGGTATTGCTCACCAATGGAAAGACGGGTCATCAGCTTTAATTATTCATCATGTAATTTATCTCGATTCTCGGAATTGCTAGATGTATTGATTGCCTTTGCTTTGACTCCTCGAATGTAATCTAAATTTAGGAAAACTATAAGATGCCATCAAATATACAGTTGTTCTTTCAAATAAATATGTTGTCTTTAAGTGAGCTGGATTTATTGCTTGCTCTTCAGTTTACCAAAAGACTAGAATAAAATTAGATTTTTGTGAAGTTGTTTGGTCAAAGAGGAATGTATATTACTTGTATTTTATATGAGCGAGAATTCATCTCTTGTATTATATATTCTGCATTTACTTTTTGTTTGTTTTTGTAACTAAGTGATTATTTCAAACGAAGTTTAATCTGTTTGTATGTCTAACTGGCAGGATTTTGAGAAGTTATATGCTTTTAGTTTGTACATAAAATCTTTGATTTGCGTGAGACTTGCTTTCGACTTTGAATCATTATAAGATTTGGTAGCTGATATATTTGTTTTTCAGTTAAATTTTGTACTTTGCAGAAATACCTCTTGGTTAGCATTAGTCTTTTCTTTTTGTTGACATCATTTTAATTGCAGGATAAAACTCATTCTCTTCATATTGTTGAATCATGCAGAACGATGAGGGGACACTTGTTGAACTTTACGTACCAAGAAAATGTTCTTCATCTTCACGTATTATCGCTGCAACGGACCATGCAGCCGTGCAAATTGATTTTGTTGATGTTGATCCAACTACAGGGCGTATGGTGCCTGGGAAAGTCATGAGGTAACTATATGCAATCTTTATTAGAGTCGTCACTACTGGTAATCTGAGTAGGAAGCAGATGCAGGTAATGGGTTACATAGTATTGGAAACGCTAAAGCTATCATTAAAGTTTACTGTTTTAATTCGGATAGAAAGTAATGGCTTCTAAGGAGTTTTACTTATACATAAATCTCTAGCACTATAGATTTCATTTGTAATTTAAGATATGCAATTTGTGGGGAAATACGGCGTATGGGTGAATCAGATGATTGTATTTTGCGTCTTGCAAAGAGGGATGGCTTGATACCAAGTAATTTCTAAGAGTTATGTCGGAGAACCTTCTTGTTACATTGTTTTGATATGCCTTTGTGATATGAAAAAACCATAATAAATTGTTTTTAAATTGTCAAGAAACATCAGTTTGCATCGGTATCAAATTCATTCTGCGATGTGCATGAAGTTAACATTTGGGTTTCGCGTGATCAAAAAATTGCATGCTTCCAATTTTGCTTTTACACTAAACAAAATTATCGTACCTTTCAGTTATTTGAAACAAATAGTACCATTGTAGAAATGGTATCATCCCCGGTAAATTCTTGAACTAAATTTAAAGAAATTACAGTTTTTGTAACAGTTCAGATTTACTGTTGAAACTTGCAACATATAGTTGTTCTTGCGTTGTTACTGTGATTTTCTAATCAGGCATCTTTGGGCATTGTGACTTTTATTATTTGCTAGAAGTGTTTTCGTAAAAGAAGTTGACATCTGGGTTTCGTGGGCACATTAATTTTGATAATTACAAAAGCGAATTTGAAATGGGTAAAGGTTTTCATGGCCATGAAAAGGGGACGTAGTGAAGAATGAATATACCTATTGATTTGGCTGTAGCAAAATAAAGTATCGCGATAGTACGGAAGGTTGCAGTGGAAATTGACGCAAACGTTTAATATTGCTTGTCATAAGAAAAGCATTTGATGCATATCTGTATATTAAATCAGATGCGAGCAGAAATTGATTTATTCGCTGCAGTGTCGTTTTAAATTTCTGATTTTATCTTCATGTAAATACGACTGAACATTGAACTGTAAGTTATATTACATATACATATGACTTGACCGTGGTCGTTTTTGATTACTTCTTTCACTGATTCACCTCGATTTTCGTAACTACCATCTTGAAGACTTTTTTCCGCCTTTTAGTTTTGATGGGATAGTAAAGGATGGTGAACTACTGGTTCTATGAAGACAAACCTGTTTTCATTAATTAGGGAACAGTTTGGCATGATATCGTACACTGCGTCATCAACACTGAAGTGCTATGTTCCATGGACATCCATTGTGTTCGTTCAATTTGGTTTTTTTACTCATGTGGAATATTCGGCTTTAAAATAGCAATGTATTTCCTGCTCTGTTTACTATCAGCGTTCAAGTGAAGTATTTATCAGCCCATTTTCGATTGATACTCTTAATTTTTAAGCATTTAATTATAAAATGTTCCATAAAATTATTGTGATACAAAAAGTTTGCATGACTCGCTGGGAACTAATAAGTATTATTATTTATGCTGCGATGTAATTCAAAGGTTTATTTCATTCTATAAATGGAATTTAAACTAACCTTGTATCGATATCGAATAAAGATTATCGATGGTTCACAATTCACTTGTTTGGCGAAAACGAATGTCCATGACATTGAAGGGGATTTAAAAATTTGCCATATTATTTTCCTGATTCTCATTTATTTTGGCTGCAATTTCACCCGTAAACCCATTCTTCAAACACTAATCTAATAAATGGATCATTTCAGTTGTTTCATTTTGTTTTGAAAATATAGCTCATGGTTGTTCAGAAGCATTTATATGTTTTCAATTTGTTACGTTCAATAAATATGCAATTTAAAAGTACTGACAACGTCAGGTTTCCAATTTAGATTCGATCTATAGGAAGGAAAGGATATAAAAACTACAGCCAGATTATTCTATGCAGAAATGAATTGGTTCCATATAGAAGTTGATGCAATTGATGTGATTGTTTTAATTGTGGTACTTTTTTCCACGATATATTATTTCTGTAAATTTTGGATCAGAAGAAGCAGTAAGACATTAACAGAAGTTAAAATACCTTCCTATAGCTCTCCGAACAACCAATTGAATCAACATGTCCCATTTATTTCACGCATGAAATCAGAAGGACGGAAGGTTGTCGTTTTTGATATTTTGTATCATTAGTGTTATATCGGTCACTCTTATTTAATTCATTATTTTAAATGTGATTTCCATTATAAAACTTTTAACGTTGACATTCCACAATATAATTCTTGACAGAAATATTCGTGAATGCATTCATTACAAACCAAGTATTTCAGTACAGTCAGGCAAAATAATATACTTACTGAATACTTTTAAAATTTCACACGATGCTTTTAAATTAGCTAGTTAATTTTCCTGTACATTATTGGTTTAGATACTGTTTAACTGTTTATACAGTTATCTAATATTTTTTAGGTATTGATTATTTATGGCTCTCAAACAGGAACAGCAGAAGAATTAGCTGGTCGACTTGCCAAAGATGTTCAGAATTACGGCCAAAAGGTATTAAGTTCTTAATATTTTTTATGTTGTTTAAATGACTTGAAGTTAACTAGCATTATTCATGACTTCATATCATTTAAAATGCTTCCACCCTAATGTTCTTTTCTGAGTCAAAAAGAACATGCAGAAGAATATGAAATCGACTAATTTTCATTTTGCCCTGCAGCTTTTTTTCTTTATCAGTGTTTTAACTTGTTTTGAAAAAAATTGAACCATTAATTTTAGGCTTTTGTGCTGGATCCAGAAGAAATGGATAATGAGGATTTTGAAAGAATCATAGAAATTCCTGACATGCTTCTAATTATGTGTATGGCAACCTATGGTGAAGGTGATCCCACTGATAATGCAGTAGAGTTTTATCAGCATGTTTGCAGTATCGAAATCAACTTGAAGGGCATTAAGTTCGCAGTTAGTGCCATTTCTCTCATATAGTGTTTGTATGCACTAGTATTTAATTCTCAGCAAAAATTCACTTTTACATTTTTTAAAGTTAGACATACATTTAAACTGAAGTTTGATTTCTAATAGCTATCTGCTTTTTTGTGTAAGTTAAAAAATGTGGTTTTTAGGTTTTTGGATTGGGTAATAGGACATATGAACACTTCAATCAAATTGGAAAATATTTCGATCAAAAATTGGAGCAACTTGGAGCTACCCGAATTTATGAGCTTGGACTTGGAGATGATGATGGAAACCTAGAAGAGGATTTTATGAGGTTTTAAATCGAAATCACTTGTTTCTTAATATCATGGGATTTGTCAGATTGAAAAGTTTTGCAGATTTTTAATTGCTTAGCACTAAATTTTGATTTTTTGTAATTTAAGTTAGTATATTTTTATGAAATATCCTCTAAAAAAATATTTAAAAAAATGTCTATAAGGTGGCGAGAAGGTTTTTGGCCTGCAGTAGCGAATATTTATGGTTGGGAATTATCTGAGACAAGTTCACTGCGCCAATATCGCTTCGAAGTTGTAACTGACTTCTCTATCAACTTATATACTGGGGAGTATAACCGTCTGGATTCGTTTAAGAAACAAAGACCGTTAGTTTTACATAGATCTGAAGTAGGTTAAACCTAATGGATTAAAAAAAGAAAAACTTTAAGAAACAGAATAATTTGTGACAGTCGTAGTTTTTCAACATAATTTTCAGACCCTTTGATCACAGGAATCCTTTTCTGTCAACAATCAAAGGTAATTTTGAACTGCATGGTGAAAAAAGTGACAGAAGTTGTCGTCACATCGAATTCATCATTAATGATGCGACATTAAGGTCTAAAAGTTCTTAAATGTTTTCTTCAGTAATTATATTTTCCATAGTTTAAAACTTGAAACTTTAGATATGAAGCAGGCGATCACTTAGGCATATTCCCAACAAATGATCCCGCATTAGTGAAAGAATTAGGACGACTGCTTGATACTAATCTGGATATCCGTTTCAGTTTGATTAATCTTGATGGTAACATTTTTGTGTCTATTATTTCCACAAACGTAATAAGGACTATACATTATCGTAGTTTTTAAAACTTTTTTAAATCGATGTTTATAGAAGAGAGCTCGAAAAAAAGTCCATTCCCATGCCCTTGCACTGTTAATACCGCACTCACTCATTATGTTGATATCTGCGCACCGATCAAATCGCATGTTCTAAAAGCCTTGGCTTCTTATACAAGCGATCAAAATGAAAGAGAACATCTTTTATTACTAAGTACGGCAAGTAAAGAAGGTTTGGTAAGTATCCACTAGATCTATATCTTATGGCACATAATTTTCGCGTAGCTTTTCTTCCAATGTTTTCTTTTATATGATGTTATTTTTGCAGCTAGAATATGGAAATTACATTCAGAAAGAAAGGCGGTCAGTTATTGACATCCTTCGTGAATTCTCAACTTGCAAACCTCCAGCTGATTATCTTCTGGAACTTTTGCCACGTCTTCAGGTTCTCCCACATTGTTTTCTTTCGTTGTATTTATTTAGAAGTATCAAAATATTAATCATTGGTATCCACATAATTCGTTACAGAAATTAAATGCATAACATGGGCATTTACCTTATGTTAATATTTGCCAACTTAAATTTGAATACAAATTTGATTTTCGTATTTTGCAGCCTCGTTACTACAGCATATCATCATCTCCAAAACATACTCGTAATTCAGTGACTATCATGGCTCTAATCACAAAATATACGGTTGGTAATCGACTAATTAAAGGAGTTTGCACTAATTATTTACTCCAAAAAGTAAGTTTTGCTTTTTGCTTGCTTTAAAACATCATTCTCAGACTCTTATTTATTCTGAACTAAATTAAAGGGTCTTGCAATCTGTTTTGATAGATCTCGTTAGTTAACATAGAGATGAAACATATTCATCTCCAGTAAACTGAAGCAATGAAATAAAAATGAAAAATTTGTTGGTCTTGATCTAGTTTTTCTTTTCGATTTTAAAACTGTCATTCATTTCTCTTTCCAGAAATCATTTTTACAATCTTCACAGTATGCAGATTGTACGTATATGTGCTGTTTTTATTAAGGATGAAGGTTCGCAGGTGCCGATATTTGTTAGGAAATCAACAATGCGCTTACCACATCGATTACAAACACCCGTTATCATGATTGGTCCTGGAACAGGTTTTGCACCATTTCGAAGTTTTCTCCAGGAACGAAGTTGGCAAAAGGACCATGGTAGATTTTATATAACTGATGTATGAAATACATTACTATGAATTTAAACTACGTTTTTTTAAAAAGAATCATATTGAAGACGCACTACATGGTAGAGGATACTGTGAAATAATCTTATTTTATACAATAATCACACTTTTCTATATCTTGAAGGCCATGAAATAGGGCAAATGACTTTGTATTTTGGATGTCGTCATCCAGAACATGACTACATATATGAAGAAGAGTTAAAGGCTTTCGTTAAAAATGGTGTACTTTCTCAGCTGCATATTGCATTCTCCAGAGTCACATCAGAAAAGGTTAATTTAGAAACCTGAAATTACCTCTTATGGCATCAATAAATTATTAATTCGTTCACTGCTAACAACTTCAAGAGTAATTCACCTCTCGTTGGTTTAGATTTATGTGCAACACAAAATCTGGATAAACCGAGAAGCAGTATGGGAGGCTATTGAGAATGGTGCACATATTTACGTGTGTGGGTACGTTTGATTGATTTAAATCATCTTAATTTATTGTAATATAGAAATTATGTCAATTTTGCTGTTTAAGTGATGCACGAAATATGGCTCGCGATGTGCTGAATACATTGATACAAATATATATGAAAGTAGGAGGGAAATCAGAATCGGAAGCACACGTTTTTCAAAAATCTCTGGAACGCAAACGACGCTATCAAGCAGATGTCTGGTCTTGAGAGGTAGAATATGTGACAAAATTTGATGTGTTTTGTGCATTCAGAGTTTACCTTCCCTAGAAACATTGTATGCGATCGAAAAACAAAAAAATCCTTCTGGAGAGAGAATCACTGCGGTAATTTGATTATTCTTTGAAAAATAAAATAAACAGTAAGATCACAGTGCCAATTCTGACTGGCAACTGACGATTTTCTGAACCAAATTAATGATAAAAATCTATACACCTAACAACATACAAATGCACATCCGTTTCGAATACATTTGGTCTAATACTGTGCAATGAATATAACAAAAGTGGAGCAGAACGTACGTTGAGTATCATTTGCTCATGTGATTTAGAGAATATGAATATAAGCAGAGTGGAAATAATAACCCTGAAAACATTCTAGATGATCTAAGGAAGAACCGGAAATAGCAAGTTCTAAATCCTCACTTAAATCCCAACACAAAGTCATGCATGCGGTCTCAAAAAATGAAAATGTTAATATCTAGGAGGAAAATATGCTCAATGTGAACTTTGTGCTTCGGCATGCAACGTTGCATGCATTTTGCTAAATCACTTATTTGAGATAAGAGTTTGTGAAGCAGAAATTAAAGCTTACAAAGTTTGCTTCTATTTTTTTCGTGTATAATTTCAAATATTTGCATGTAGAAAGTTGCAGACGGTAATATGTGTAGTTTTTCTTAAGGTTTGCTCTCACTACAGCTATTACTGTCATTCTTGTTTGATCATGTAATCTTTGTCTATTTTTCATTTCTCATTAACCCCATGTGACATTAATAAATGACAATAATTGGATCTATTTTTGCTGACTTCAATCGTCTTCAGGATATAAGCCAGTATATTAAAGGTTTTTGGTAATAGCGAAGTTTAAGGAAGCTAAACTGCTGCCATTGTGACAGCTTCCAAGAAATTTTCGCTTATAACTGAATTTGACTCTTTCAAAATAACAAGGTGAAGTAGTGAGCTGAAATATTGAGAGAAGATATGTCGTCTGGTCTCAAAGTAAAAGATTCTGCGTGGTGCAAAAATGAACGTGAAGTGGATGAACCAGTAATGTCATTTGCTGAAATAATGAGTGAAGAATTAGTAGATCAACTCATGGTTTGTTTTTTATTTATCCGCGTAGGATGTCACAGTAAATCTTATTTTAATGATTTTGCAATTATGTTAGGATCGTTTATATCTTAATTTTAATTTTGAAGCGTCATTTCAGCATATCATATATCGTTTATATCAATATTCTAATTGTAGTTTGCATGTACTGTGAAAATTTTTTAACAGATAAGCATTTCCACCAACAATTATACTACTGTTCAAGAGTAATCATTCTCTTTTGTTTTTTTACTCACATTTTTGACTGCTTTAGATTAAATAATGACAAAAGATGAATAACGAGCAGAGTTTTTTCGCTGACCAGATGTATACTTTAATTTTTTTCTCTTTAAGTTTTATGGTGCTTTCAGTTCTTTAGGAAGAAGATGCCAGAGTTCTGGATCCATCTATCGCTCAATATGGTATAAGTTCTGACGAGCTTTCGAAATGCGCCGATGATTTTGAACTGGCTAGAATGCTTCAGGAAAAATTTGATCTGGAATATGAAATGACTGTACAGTCGTTTAAGAACAAGAAAACTGAATCTAAAAGTTTGATTATCACACAACTCTGCCTTTTATCATACGGAGTTAATTGCTTGTAATTTAAAAAAAACCATTGTGTCAGTTGTATTTCAGTTCAGTTAGGATTTAAATCCTATCATTCTGTATGTGACAGCGATGAAGATTGTGATGAGGAAATCAGTCAAGATGATGAAGATTTGAAAGAGATCAGTGCCAATTTCTCTTATTGTATGGGATTTTTGACTCTTTATATTTTTATTCTGATATAAATCATCGCAGAAAGTTTAGATATGCTTGAACAAAAATGATTTAATCAGGAAGAGAAATTGAGAAAAGGAACGCACTACATTTAGGTAAAGTGAAAGATGAATTTCCATCGAGTGGTTACGTACGTAATTCTTTGGGTAATTTAATTACGAAACATGATAAAGAAATAAGTGAGAGACGCAATTCTGAAAAAGCGATGCATGTTAGTTTTTATTTTGCTTATTATGTATCTTATAAATGTCAAAAATTTTGCAGTGCTCGTTTGCTTTAAATTAGTTCATTAAGCTATTTTTTCTACTTAATTATTGCAGCTTCCTATTGATTTTCCTACTGGTAATGTAATTGGTGAGAAGTTGAGCAACAAAGTTTATAATAAATTGCGCAGTTGCAGTAAAGCTGATCGAAAGAAGAATATCCGTGTAAAAGTAAGTGTATTTGGTTTGGCGTCTCTCAATATTAATTTAATGTAAGGGGGAAAACGCTGCTATAATCATTCAGAGCTGAATTAACTGACTGTGTTTAATAATATTTTTGTTTTTTCAGGATAAAGATGAAAAAGCTACAAATGAAATAAGTTTGGACAAGATTACTCGTTTGGTAATCTATAAATTTATCAACGCGGGCCTTTTCGATAAAGTCGGAAACATTATTGCAACAGGAAAGGTTAGAACTCTCTAGAAAAATATATAACGGAAAAGGAATGGAGGAACCGATCTAAAAAATGTTTGTGTCAATGATACCTACTATCTTATCACTGCTGAAATACTTATTTTTAGTGCAGCATAAAAGTATTTTCATAATTTTTCTAGTCTGAATCATTCATTATTACTACTAGATATAATGTCTCAATCAGTAGTCCTTTCACTTGCAGTCATACTAGATGCTCTCATTTTTCATCCTAAAAATGTAAAGAAATAGAACTCATGTCTCTTGTTATTCTTTTGAAAAAGTATATGTAAGAACGGTATTCTGTCTTTAATATTTTTGACTTTTTTGCTGTATTTCTTCCACTCAGTTGTTAATTCGATGAAATTAATGTGAAGCAAATTAATATAAAAAGAGCTTTTTATTTTAGTTTTTTGTTCCTTGCCAAATTTGACTAGTGTCGCAGCTTATGTAGTCATCAAATGTGAAAATTTTAACTGAAAAATTTTCTCTGCAAAAAATAATCATAATGATAATTCGATTCTAGGAGTCGGTGGTTCTGCATGCAATGACACATGCTGATGGAATCAAAGTCCTCGAAGAAAAGCACTTTGCTCTTAAAGTTTACAAAATGACACTATCCGAGTTTAAAAATAGATTAGAATATGTCTTAGATGATTATCGCTTTAAAAATCCTCGGCGAGTACTGCGTATTTGGGCCGAAAGGGAATATACAAACCTGAAAAGGTAGAAGTGTATAGATTTATTTCTCAGTGAATAGAAATGCATTTTGATGAAGTCTTAAATTTCAAATTATTTGAAAGAGAAGGAAAAATCACTTTGTTTTCTAGCAACATCATTTATCTTTTGCTCTTTCCTTTACTTTACATCTATTTTAATTTGGTGTAGTTTCTCGTTTTTTTATTTTAATACTTCGAAAAAACCTGGAAATCCTATTAATCACTAAAGAACTTTTTGGCTTTTTAGTTTTTCATGTTCTGAAATCAGATCATAACTTAAAAAATGAAAAAAAAGGATAGTCAGTGGAAAACATCATTTAACAAGCTAGGAGTGGTTTACTTTTATATTTTACATCGCTATTCACATATGATACTAATCTTTAATGGGACATGAACACTTTTTAATATAACTTGGATCCGTTGTTATAATAATTTGAAAGAGCTAACTTACATTAAGGTTTAAATCAGTAGTGTCTCAAATAGTTTTTTAACTTTAAGTGGATAAATTTGCTTCAAATATATCTTTTTTTGAGGATGATTCGTGCAGGCGTAAAGTGTCCTGAACCGATTCGACTCAGAAGACATATTATGATTATGACCTTTATTGGCTCGAATGGCGTTGCAGCGCGCAAATTGAAAGATATCGAATGGAGGGACCAGAAAACCATTTATCAAGCATTTCTGCAAGTGAGAGAGGTCCTTATTTTAATAAATTTCAATTCACTTTCTCATTTCACAAATTATCTCTGTTGAAATGTTTTAGTTTCATTTTCTTATCATTTGTATAAAATTCTTAAGTTTTTCATTGAAGTTCTCTTCATATATGGCCTTAAATAATCCAGGTAGTTGATTCTTATGGTCATAGAGTTTTACCAGACTGGAATTAGTCCTATCAATATTAGATACCTAACATTAAGGTGTTTTTCGTACCAATGTGTGTTTTTGAATAACATACAGCATTATAGGCCGTGATCAAAATGTTTACGGACTGCAACCTTGTACATGGTGATCTCAGTGAATTCAACATGCTGTATTATGAAAATCACGTGTACATCATAGACGTTTCTCAGGTTTTCTTGTGATTTGCATTAAAAATACTAGAACATGAACCAAGATTTTCTGGAGCATTGCCATGATAAATTATCTGTAATGAGCTTTCAAAAATTCGCGAAATATATTTGTCATTAATGACTCAACCACCTTAAAAATAGTTGAAAACACTGATACTGATAACAATCTTAATCACTCAGTATTGCTGTAGAGCTGTGTTCTAAAATTATGCTAGAAAATTCGGTTTATTCTATATATCCGTTTTCTCAATCTTCGTAATTAATTTATTTGTATCTCCGGATTTTCGTATTTAGATAGCATAAAGGTCAGAAACTTCTGACCAAGTTATTTGTTAAAAACTACTTGTAACAAATAAATAGTTTTTAGTTAGTAACTTGTAATGGGTTGTAATAATTCAGGCGATGGACACTTCACACCCCCGAGCTTTGTTTTTCTTGCTTCGAGACATTAACAACGTCTTGGAATACTTTCAAAAATTAAATATTGAAAAATTACCATCAGCGACTGAGTTTTTTAATGATGTTACTGGCCTAAATATGGATCCTGGTGAAAGTCTAGTTGTTCAAGTCAGCTTTTCCATGTTTAATTTTCTTATGACTTTTATAATCATAGCTACTTTTTCCATTTATTCTCATGACACCGGAACAAATTTACGAAAAATTAAACCTATACCTACTATCCATTTTGCATGACCGCTACGCTCCTACTCTTTTTCAATTTTATCTATTAAAACAGATTCTAATGAATTTTCCAAATATGCACACGTACTGCTCATCTAGAATTGTTGTCGATTTCAAAGTATCTAGTTATCCAGACTTGATTTTTTAGGTTGAACATTTTGAGAAAGACAACCGCAGTGCTCAACTCCGCCATGATAAGACAAACCCAGCTGATATGGAACTACGTTTGTATGATGCAGAAGTTTCTGAGACCTATGAGGACCCAGCCGAATTGTATAATTGAAAGTTGCTTTCCATCGTAATAGTCAAGTGCCACTGTGCTAGATTTTTCAGGGCTTATTTTAAATACAAAGTTATCTCATTTTTCATTGTGAATTTAAAGCGTGGTTTTGCCTTTTTCCATTTTTTTCGTGTCTCTATCAGTACTGGCAAAACTGTTGTTTTGCAAATTCAGAAAGCATGGAGTTCTTTTATAATTAGGGAGCTTCATTTTTCTCATGACTTCTAGTAAAGACCATTAGTATGCGTATGCAGCTGCGATCATTTAAATTTTTAGGTACTTTGATGCGAAAACAATTGCTTTGCTTCTAATTATTATTGCTAAATATTACTGTCATGACCTAATACAAGAGTGAGTATCTTCATTAAAATAAGATGAAACAATATTATACAGCAGTTGTGAATAAAGGCGGTTTTCGAAAGAAAAGTGGTGAATACAACAGCATAGAGATTTAAACATATTTAGACATACAGAAAGGAATACTTAGAACAAGACAAAATGTTAAACAAAAAAGTTTTTTGACATATTGCATTCATTTTTGTGGAAAACAAATCCATAGTTTTTGCAAATCAATTTGCCATATCAGTTGTGATCTTAGCTTACCACTAGAAATAATAGAATGGATAAAAAAATGTAAAAAACGAACGAAATTCATAACACAGTCTTGAAATCGGGCATCCATTCTAAGAATGTTAGATGTAGGATGATGAATGCACGATGCAGACTGATCCCAACATAATCATGTCTTAAGCTCAAATTGAAATAAGGATGAAAAATACAAGCAAGATAGTATTTATGGCAAAAGAAAACTGCTATAAAAAATGGACAACTACACTTAGTTTTTTCTTTAAATGAAGTGCATGGCTCACAAAGGAGAAGATAACAAAGTTTTCTGCAAATTTTGGAGAAAACATCTGAATCCCAGGCATTTCAAGCCGAGAACCTATCAAAAATTTATAAAAAGTTTCAGTTCTTTGAGGATAGGACCTCCCCAATTATTAAGCAGAATTGTTTATTAGGCTTAAGCCAAGATAAAACAAGTCGAAATTTCAGACTTGAACAAATTTAAGAAACATAACAGAATAGATAAAAACAGATGACTTTTGCAAAATGACAAAGTAAAGCAACAAATTTGCCAAAAGACAATTTGAAATACCCGTAACTTCACATAAACTGGGTTTGAGCAGCTCCCCGCCTGCACATCAATCATTAAGTTCAACTTTGCACTGCCCAACCATGATCGATCTGGCTGTCATAACGAATGTATGAATCATACAGAATTTGGTCTGCATTGCCTTCACGACCTGATTCCTGTACAAAATATTGGATTTATTGTGTACACAACTACAATGAATACAGTAAACTCTACCTTCATGACACTTTCCTCTATGAGTCAATTTCTTGAATACATCTTGTATTTTTTCCCGCTTCACTTTATTGTTTTTTCTAATTGATACAGTCGAATTAATTTAAATTTCAAAAAAAAAAACCTATTTGACGTAAATCAGAAACACTGTAAAATAGAAAAGAATCAATAATATAAATAAATGAATAGAAGATTTCAGTAATAAAACGTCTGTTTCTTGCAAAATTTTACACTTACTATTCACATTAACGATATAAAAAGCTACAAATAATGTAGATCTTTTTGTTTTTTAATCTTGCGAATCATTTTTCAAATATTTAACTTTACGACGACATACAAAGTCCCTCATTCTTTTAACGCTATTATGCTACAATTTTATGAAAACTGTAATGAGATTCAAAGTACACTTTTTCTCCACATGAATGTTTTGTTAAACAGATACCGACTGTAAAAAAGGTTTCATGAAAATAAAAATAATTAAGGAACTCACATCAAAGCTAAAAATACTCAAATTCTCTTTACCTGGATGATTTGGAAAAATATTTCAATCTCAATAAGTTAGAAAAATAAATCAAGATAAAATAAGAGAGCACTTATACATAAAATCATTCTAGAAGGTTACGAAAATCCAACTTTGCAATTAATACATACCTGCTCACGGGTATTTTGATGAATTTCATCTTGCCGGTGTTGATGTTGTGCTTGCTGTTGACGTTCACGTTCCAGAAGTTCCTGTTCTTCCTTCTGCCTTTTCCTATTTAAAAGTCAGTAAGCACATAAACGTCAAAAAGTAAAAGTGAAGATTCTATTTTTGAAATCTGTTAACCAACCTCTGTCGGCGTTGCGCATCTCTCATAGCATTATATTGGCGCCGTTCTTCACTACTCATCCTGTGATATTTCAGCCTAGCTGCTTCTGCTCTTTTTGCTCGTCGACGCTGTGCTTCTGCAACCTAAAATCAAAAAAATGCAACAAAAATCAAGCAAGAAAAAAGTAGTCATCATGATGAGTTACAAAATTAATAACATACTTGTATCATCAAGTCTGCATCCAGGGTAGTACCAGACATTTGAGCTCTTTCTGCCATTCGGCATAATTCATCGTCTCTCATACGAGCTGTACGTAAAGCTTTCGCACGACGAGCATTAAAATTACGCCGTTCTTCAGCAGACATGTTGTGATAACGCATTCTGACCAATTCATAGCATAACAAATAGTACTGACTGGATAAATAAAATAAGAATAATCAATCGAAAATGTTGATCACCTCGCTCGTTCTGCTCGTTTCGCCCTCTGTATTTCTAACTTTTGTTCTGGAGAAATCCCTACAGTTGGACCAACAGAAGCAGCGGTTGCAACTGCTAAAATATCTCGTCTATGTGGGTTTGAATTTATATGGCGTGAAGCAACTCGATATGACGGCTTTAATTCTGTATCACTGATCATCGGTGAAGTCGCTACTGTCACCTGCAGATTTTTTCGACAGAATGAAAAATTTGTAAATTTGATTTTAAAGAATTAAAAGCACTCTTAGGAAATTAAAACCAACTGTACAAAACTTGCCTGTCCTGGTGGTAATACCACATTTCCCTGTTGCTGAATAGCAGCAGCTGCAGCGGCATACATAGGAGGACGACCACGTGCACGCCCATGTCCACTCATACTCGAAAGAACTGCCCCAGTAGCTTGATTTAAATCAGTTACAATTATCTAAATATAATATTATAAAAAACAAGTAATTAAATGTCATCGGAATTTTCGAAAGTAGAAATTCAATGCCCATACTTGATGCTGCATAGGTTGTTGAGGTTCTTGTAAAGTTACTATTATATGCTGTGGGTGTGTTTGTTGCTGAATGTGTTGTGAATTCTGCTGCTGATGCGACTGCAAATGTGCATGTACCTCTACTTGACCAGCACGAACCGTGTGTTCCGTATCATCAGTGCCACTGTTTTCTCGAACATTGTGTAGTTCAGCAAGCTGTGGTAACCCTTGTTGCTGAGTCATTGCAATCTAAATTTATAAACTACAAAACCTATTCAATATTGGTTTATTAAAAAAATCAAGAGAATTTCTATGCACCAAAACTTATCGAAGTGCAGAAATTTCGATATTATAAAAAAATGAAAAGTATTGTATTTACGCGTTTAAACAGTCGGTATGCAAAAAAATATATATAGAACTTTCCTATAACCATCAATGATGAGACCAGGTAAGATAATGAGCTGTAATTTTTGGAACTCAAGAACTTTCCAAAACCAAAATATCACATAACGTAATAAAATCAAACGAATCTGCTGGATTCATTTAAAAATAAACGAACTGAAAATCTAGTCATTTATATACTTTTAGATGTCAAGTAGAAAGCGCACACTTCTATTTTTATATAAATATAGAAAAAAAATTATTTGAAAAAAACCTGATGCACGGAATCTCCATGATCATGATTATTACTCTGCTGCTGATTAGGTATATTCAAAAGCTGTGGGATAGTAGTCAAATGAATTGGTTGGTGTGAATTTCCGATCAGCTTACTCGGATCATCAACTAACGTTAAAGAATTGGGATCAGCACTCAGAAGCTGCTGTGTAATAGCTGGAACATGAAACACCTGCTTGCCATCCTCAGTTGTTGCTGGGGTAGCTGGAATGTGAAACACTTGTTTACCATCTTCTGTAGTTGTAGCTGGGATAACCGTCTGCGTGCCATCAGGATTTGTGCTCACCTGTAGAATACACTATTCTTGTAGCATGATTTTAAGATCTTAAAATGCTTAAATAACACTTATGCAAATAAATAAGTAAAAAGTTTTCCCAAAAAAACGACGGTTCAGTACCAATGCAATCATTTCAAAAACAACAACAATGGCATCATCAGTCAAAAAACACCAGAACAATGCAAATAAAGGCAATACGAAAAAATTCAGCGTTCAATTATCTATGGCTAATGATTGGAACCTCGATTCTCAAGAACCTTTAATTTCATAGGCGACTACCAAGAAGCGAAAAGCAGCAATTGATAATGAGGATAATAATCATGCGACCTGTTGTAGTAGTACTTCTAAATCAACTGAAAAAAACAAGGAAACAAATTAAAGAGAGTTATTTCTGGCATGAACAAAGGAAAAAAAGACTATTTGCTAAAAAAGGATGGAAACCCCAATGAAGAACGCTGTGCTAATTTGCAGTCAGGATATAAGAAGTCTAACAAAGAAATTGACGATGGACGGAGTAAAATTGCATCGGGAACCATAATCAAAAACGGTAGGAATACAATGAAGGTGCGAAAAGCTCCATGAAGGATGTGAGAAAATATTCCGCCAGTGTACTGGAACCAGGAGAATGATTACGCTCGAAGCAATAAATCGAGGAACTGAGGTGGTTCCGCAGAGGAGCTGGTCAGGAAAAGTACTGAAAACAATTCTTGACCGTCTTTGGAGAATGCCGAGAGGGGGATTAACTCTTGTGTTGTTTTCTTTATTGCGAGATGTTCGTGTGTGCGATAAACTTCCGCTTGCTTCTTCTGTCGAAGAAGTAAAGAAGCCAGCGAATTCTGCGATCATAAGTATTGCAGATCGTCCATTCTCACAGAAGCGGTTTATAGAGGAGATAGCGAAGCATTTCAAGACACCTGACACCTACTTCGAAGAAAATACACTACATAAATCTAAAGTTTATCTAGACGTAAAGCAGAAGTACCTCGTGTTGATGCAAGAAGCCCAAGGACGTGAGATAGACCAGAAAAAATGGACTCGGAAAATAATTTCGAAGAATCTTGAACTACTTCTACTTGGAGCGGTAAACAAAACGACAGGTAAATATGCCACACATTCTTTCCAAGTCAATGACTGATATTTGGGTTTTGTAGAAGTTTTGCACAACAATGCTATGAAGATATGAAAGGCGGGAAAAAAAGCCATCGAGGTGTAAAGCAAGCACAGAAAAGTGCAAAACTTCTACAAAACCCGGTAAATACCGAAGGGAGGCCAAGATGTGTATGAAGAGCATAAATCTCATACTGGCTCTCAAACGTGACTGCCATAAGGCTCTAAGCATGCTAACAGAACGTGTGAGAGTTTATGAAAGTAACACAAAAAGTTATGAGTCCCGATGAGTATTCAAAATCTAAAACATCAAATATGAGTTGTTCAGATGGCTGTTTTTTAATATGGAACTAATAAGAAAATATTTTGCCAATGTTAGGCACAGATATAAGATCAGGGAGCTTTAGGCAACGATGTGCAGCTCGAAAAAGAAAGATGATGATATCCGAAACAACGAATATTTGAAAGAAGTTGTCCCAGAATGTGAAGTACAGGACACACATTCTGTAGCCCTTGTATAGCGAGAAAGGAAAACTCGTCATACAGGGATATTACACAATATGTAAATTAATGAGCTAGCCTTAATGGACGATTTATCAATAAGGCTGCAATACGGAAATATAAACCAACAAGACTAACAGGGACAATATCATAGATATAACCACTTCGAAATACATGCATATGTAAAGTTTATGATAAAGTAAGCTAAGAAAATTTGGTCTAACTTCAACTCGAAATACAGAAAAACGTACGATAACAAACTGTTCTTGAGGTGCGAGTCTTTTCTGCCGCATAAGAACCATATTGGCCTGTCGTGTTCGTTTAAGAACGTCTTTTTCTAAAGTGGATAAGACCTCTTCGCTAACAACACTCTCTATAACCGGTTTCTGTTCCATAGTACCAGTACGGCTGTTGATTTGTAGAGCATTTTCATTACCATTTATCGAGGATGATAAGCTTGACATAGCATCTTCTAGAAAGTTAAATCCTATTTTCTGAATGCAACTGCTGTCAAATCATACAAGAAATTGTACTTTCAAGCAGCCACTATTTAAACTCTACAAATACCTGTAACTTCCAAGGGAGAGACAATTTTTAATGGTCATAATTAAAAACGTAAGACCAAAATTTCTGATGGTCAAAAACAGAAATATAAGCCCTCAATCACCTGAGGCAGCACGCAACACTCTTTCACGTTCTTTCTTAGCTCGAGATCTTTTTTGATTGTATGCTCGTCGCTGTTCCGGTGTCATGCGCTGATAACTATACAAAACAAGAAATCAAAATGGAAAAGGAAAGAAGCACTTTCTTTGCGTCAACTACAGTTCGTCATTTACTTAGAAAGAACATAAAAAGCATAGTTTGGAACTCAAACAATTTTTCTTGTGTTACTGAGCATTACACTTTATGATAAATTTTTTTTTTAAATATCATGCTATAATCACATCTTACAATTAATAAAAACAAGCGTAAGTTACACTATAGATAGCTTAAAAAAACAGGAACCGCTCTAAACACGTACCGCAATCGAGCAGCCTCAGCTCGCTTAGCATTGCGCAACATAATTTGCTGCGCTTTATTCAGAGCTTCTGCACTGATACGTCCTGCTGGAGTTGACAATAAAATTTCTTCTTCAATACGTCTACGACGGAACGCCTCGGTTCTGAAATTAATTCGTAATGACCACATATAATAAAGACCTGCAGTAAAGACACCAGGAATGGATGTAAATGAAACAATTTAACGACTGTGATTTCTTCTGTACTGGTCAAAACAAATTTCCTTTCCTCTCTATTATACTACATTTATAAGGGTTTGTGGACAAGGACTAAAGAACCTTCAGACGGAAGCTACTAATTTAAAAATTATCAGACTATCAGAGCCTTCCCTCTCAGCTACTGCATCCAATATACAAAACTAATAACCTTCGCTGATTATATTGCCGTTTTTCTTCATCAGTCATACGATGGTATCGTAATCTGGCAGCTTCGGCTTTTTTAGCATTTTGCTCGATAATATGTTGCCGAAGTTTCTCTTCATCCATTGCATTCTTTTTCGTACCTTAAAAATAGCACTAAAATACTTTTAACCATTATATTTTTTGTTGATAACAGATTTGAGTAAGACACATGTTTAGTCCAATTCTGCTATTAAAACAATCCTTAGATTGAGAACTACGCTGAAATCTTAATGATCTTAACACAGAAGTTCTGGAAAGCTTTTTCATTCGTTGGTTTGTCATCGTACGTTTGAAGGAACAATAATTTTGTTTTTTAATTTTTAGTACTACTGAGAATAAAGCTAAAAATTAATAATTTTTGAAAAAATCAAATAAAGGAGTCAAAAAAAAATTTTGTGCCAAAAAGACAGTCACTCCAGATCTAAACGGATTGTATCCTCTCTTGAACTTAAAACTCTACTGCTTAAATTAAACCCCAATATCGTAGCTTTCTGCAAAAACAATGTAAAACACAGGAACCTTGAATACCAAGCTGCCGAAAACGTCTTCTTTGATTATATGCACGCCTTTCCTCTGAACTCATTCGCTGATAGCGCAGTCGAGCAGCCTCAGCACGTCTTGCTCGTATTCGTTTTTCTCTCAATTGTTCATTAACAGCAGGGTCATCTTCAATATCCCTTGACTGACGCAACAGAGATTCCAACTCCTCTAACTAAAAAGCAAAATCATTTCAAACTGTGCATGAAAAAATTCATGAATCTTTTGCTCAAATCTGGTGAATGAGATTTTAAAGAATCAATGTTCTTAAATTAAAATCAGGTTTACTTCTTTATCTTTCTGCCGCTTACGCTTTTGTGCTTCAGTTCGTTTCTGATTCACTTCTTTTCTTTCTTCAACAGTCATTCGCTGGTATCTCTGTCGTGCTGCATCAGCTTGTTTTTGCCGTTTTAGTTGTAATGACATGGCATAATCGGAATTCGGTGTACACGTTTCATTGCCACCACTTTTGTTCATAAAGTCCCTGTATGATAAAAACTGCATTTAAGTTAGTTTTTAATCACAAAGCCAGATGTCAGAAATAGAAAACTTTATATGATCCTAAATACTTTCTAAAATATGCCACCCTTACTTGCTCCCAGATGAAGTAGATTCTGAAAGAAGACCACGAGAGTTAGAGTTGAGAGTCGTCGAAGTTGACGGATGTTGTTGATCAACATAGTAATGCTCATATATAATTTGTTGCTGAGAGTTTGATTGTCCATCATTTGCCAACTTAGCAATAGTTTATTATTATTAATTATAAGTGTTAAGAGATATTTCGGAAGTAAATCAAACTCTAGTAAAGCAAATATTTCTAAATACAATATCTTGTGCTCCACATTAATTATCATATCATATCTCGATAAAAAACTTGAATGAGACTGAAATAAGTGACAAAATTTTCTAAGTTTAAGACAAAATTTTTTATGGTTTTTTTCAGATAATAGAAAATTTTGAATAATTTCACACACTGCAAAAAATCAACAAGCATACTTGGACTGGCGCCAACTGGACATGAGATAGTGGAACTGCCGCTAACTGAGCTACTGAACTAGTGGTATCAACTGTCCCTACGGAGGCCAAACTGCCTCTTCCATTTGCTGGTATTAAGCCAGAGGCGTCGTTTATTTGTACTCCAGCCGGTAACACAGCCACATAAAAATCAAATTCTCAAGTGACTATAAAATTAGAAATAATCAACAACCACTACTTTAAAGAATTTAAAAAGGCCTACATATTCCTTTCGGTCTTCGACGGTTGGAGGTAAAAATGCGCCGGTGCTGTGAAATGGTGATCCTGTTGATGTGTAAAATGTCGGCGCCACAGTAGACTGGTATAAAACAGAGGTTGAACAACCTGATGATTGGAACTGCACCGTGGTTACAACAGGTTCTATATTAGCTGCAGGTAAGCCTACAATTTTCCTCGATGATGCAAATATACCAAAATTTTCAACACAGCAACTTAGTATTATTTGCACTTGGAAAAAAAAACAAACCATCAAGGATCTGAGACTGTCCCATAATTCCCGAACCCGCTGTGGAAAAAAATGCACGTTGGCTCATTTTCCGTCAGTTACATGTGCTGCTTCAATTATCTTATATGATATTTGATCAATTTAATTCGCCAAATTTCAAAGAGCTGCGTAGTAAAATCAAGTCTAAAAATACTGAATTAAGAAAAAGTTTTATTAAATTACCAGCATACATACAGCCCCAGAATCTTAGTGGCTCTTAATTAAAAAAAGATGAGTCCAAAAAAGTAATAAAATCTTTTCGACAATTATGAAAGATGATAACTGTTGTTTGTAGAAAACACATGAAAAATAATTACATATAAGTTCTAGTGAGATCAAAAAATTTATTTCAATATCTTTCTTGAGTAAAATATAAACAATTTACGGACAAATAATGAAAATGAAAACTTCAGAAATTTTGAGAATTCTATGCATATATGTATGTATATATCTTACACACAATTTAGAAAGGACATGGAAGAGCAAATCTTCATGATTGTATTCCTACAAAAATTATAAAGTCTGGAATCTCTAATTTCAAGTGGAAATTTCTTTTGCTTCAAAAGCAAAAACCCACCAACTACAAAAAGTGTGCTACGTCAAGTGAATAATAATTCGAAACTAAAAGTCTTAAAATGTCAACATATTAAAGCGACAAAATTTGTTATCAGTAAAGACTTAAATGAATTGAATTAAAAATCCCAAACTTAAGCAAAGTTTCTTGGCATCCAATCAAGAACAAAACCTCTGTCAATGAAGAGACTTGAAAACGATATGAAAATGACAGAGCTAAATTACGCGCGGAATGATAAGTACCCAACAGAAGCTAACTTCATCACATAAACAAAAAACACTTGAAAAAATAAAAAAAAAAACCTGAGATTACATGAACATCATTGCAAGGCCATTATTTCCATGCATACTTTTGGAATCGAAAAATTCAATTCACTTCAATGCCGTGACAAAAATTAATTTATCCTTAGGATAATTTTGGGTCACATAACCTGTTGTAAAGAACAATAGAATCGAGATAAACTGGAAATGAGACAAATTTGAGTTACGTACTTCAACTACTCAAATGCTTTCATAAAGAGAGTTACATATGCCTTTTTTTCTAATATTTCGTAGTAACAAACTAGACAAACTTAGAAGAAGAAATTGCGCTAAAGATGAGGTGTTTGTAGAATAAAAGTCCTTGGAACCAAATGACCTCAAGAAATCTTGCAAGAACGTAGACCTACGATTAAAGCAGAGCTTTTGATTGAAGACGATGGCAGGTATAAAAAAGTAAAGAAATGAACAATATAAGCAGAGACTTTCATGATTTTAAAATATATTATAAATACAATTTGAAAGTGTTTTACAACAAATAGTTTTTAGTCTGAATTTTTCACAAAATATAAACTAACATACCACCAATTATTATTTAACCACTTATTTCAGGAGCCTAATCTTTAGCAAGAATATTACCGGCATCACTTCAAACATCAAACACTAAATATAAAATGTCACCGACTATATTTAGGATATGCTGCTTATGCTCTCGGAGGTACTGTCGCATATGGCGAAAGTAACTGCTGTTGGAGATGTCCAACCATCATTTGCCCAGTTGGTGCAACAGTGTATTGAATTTGCTGCTGTGATGGTTGCTGAGAAGCCTGATTCTGAATTTGCTGTCGATGGATTTGGTGGACCTGAAACTACGTAAGTCATATGCACACAAATGATGAAAAATGGCCATAATGAGTTCCATACTATGCCACCACACAATAGCGATTTGCTTTTCTTCAGTCTACAAATAATTATTGTCTCCTACTAACTTCCAAACTTAACATGAAATTGCTTTTTATTATTTACTAAACGCTACATTTTGATCAAAGAATAACTATTTTGAAATGTAATATAAAATTGTAAGTAACAAGAATAAATCCGTATTATACTACAAGAAATGTCCTTTTTCATATTTCTACCCTGCAATCAATTTCATAGATCTCCATATGAAATTTGGTTCCTATAAAACAATTATCCCATCAGTCACTAAAACTGTAGGAATATTTTGAATCTCTAAATTTCTTTGGTTAATACCCTTTTTTTAAAGGGTGCACTGTCAAATTTAATCTCAATAGTAAACCTGAATTTGCTGAGGAATTTGTGACATTGATTGCTGCTGAATTGGCTGATTTTGCTGTTGAGTTTGAATTGATACAGCTTGAATTTGAGGCGATTGAATCTGTGTAGGAAGTACGCCAGGCAATGTACCATTACTATTCGAAATCATTGTGTTTTGTAAACCAGTAGTTACATTTGAATGTGGTTGCGGCACGACATGTGCTGTCAAATAAGTACCAGTAGGAGTATTTGCTACAGATGAACCACGCTGTCGCATTAAAACTTGATGGGCCTAAAACAATAATTCATCGAAAACTTTCGAAATACCATATTAACTTCCGAAAAGATCTAAAACTTTATATGTAAATGATGTTAAATAACTCTATTGTAACTGTAGAGATATTTAACTTAAAAAAACTTACCTGTTGTGTCCTCTTGATTACATCTCGTTCTAAAGTTGAAAGAGCATCATACTGCCCTTCTTGGTCCCGTTTTCGACCACGGCTGATATTACTCCCATCTCCATCAGCATTTTCAAGTCGCTTTCGTCTCGGTGTGTATCGTTTTTGATTATAAGCCTTCCTTTGCTCCGGTGTCATCCTTTGATACCTACAATACCTCAATTCTGAGAAATGATAGTAGACAGCGTCAAGGTTAATTAATTTAGAATACTTTAGTCTGGGTTAATTAAACAAGAATACCTCAATCTAGCAGCTTCCGCTCGTTTAGCATTTCGAACTACAATCTGCTGAGCCCGATCTAAAGCCTCACCATTAATTCTTCCAATTGGCATTGCAAGTAGCATTTCTTCTTCCATACGTCGTCGCCGGAATGCTTCAGTCCTGAAACTTAAAAAATTCAATACAGTGAAGTAATATCAGTAATTTTTTTGCATTTAAAGATTACGAGCCTCCTCTGATTGTACGCCCTCTTTTCTTCTTCAGTCATTCGATGATAACGAAGTCTGGCAGCCTCAGCTTTTTTCGCATTTTGTTCTTTGATATGCCTCTTGATTGCTTCTTCATCCTAAAAAGTTAGACCCATTAATTCTAAAAGATGACAATTAAACTAAGAATTATAACTTTGTTATTAGTACAAGAGAGCCGATACGCTTTCAATATTAAATCAACCAAATTTGAATAAACTCAATTCGAAAATTACGGGTTGTCCATCTGGCCCTTTTAATCCTTCCGTCGCGGCAATTTGCCTCATTCGTCTGCGATTATTATGCGCACGACGTTCTTCTGATGACATACGTTGATATCGTGACCTTGCCGCTTCAGCCCAACGTGCCCGCATTCGTTTCTCTCGTAACTGCTCGTTGATATCAGGATCCTACAGCGAGAAAATAGTAAACAGAATAACCAAGATGAAAAATTAACACAAACAAATAATCACTTCTTGTATATCATTAGTTTCACGCAACAAGTTTTCCAGTTCTTCTAATTCCTTTTCACGCTGTCGCTTACGCTTTTGTGCCATAGTTCGCTTGATGTTTAAAGCCCTTTTCTCTTCTGCACTCAAACGATGATATCGTAAGCGCGCTGCTTCTGCTTGTTTAGCCCGTTTAGCTTCATCTTTTTCTTTCTTTTCCTGTGATGCTTTTCCACGAGTATACCTTAAACAAACAAAATAGTTCTAACCACATAACACAAATGAAAAGCTTAATTTGTTCGGTGAAATTTATATTTTCGGACGAAATGATATTGATTTGATGTTTGCAAGTGAAGAAGTAATGGAGCATACTTTGCAACAATGCTTGCAGGTGAAGGATATGGGGCTGATGCAGCAACAGCCACAGATGGCGTGATGGGTGCAACAACTGACGTCGTTGGGGCCTGCTGTTCAATGAAATAGGAATCGAGAATAGCAGCTATGCGTCGTTCATCTGCTTCGGCACCTTGAGGTTGCAGAATCTGCATTGTAGTGCCATTGGGATTTTGCGCTGTTACGACTAAATATGGACTGTTAAATAAAATGTTGATATATCAAACACAGTATTTTAAAGATCGGTAGAATGGAGAACTGAAACCCTATTGAAAATAATTGATTTTAATTGTCAAATGAAATAATTTTGATTTAATTTCATACCAGTAACGACAGTAGCAGCTTGTTGTTGAGGTGATGTTACGTTAGACGTTGATGAAGAATTGACAGTCTGTACAAGCCGCACTTGCTGTGTTTGCTGCCCATTCATTGTATTTGGAGGGTTTGACTGAATTTGGACATTCTGGACCTGAAAGGTCCGTATATTTGTTATTTCCGATTGCATAAGAAAATATAAGAGATGAAAAATTTCACTTTATTAAGTATTGAAAAGCAATACTCATGTTTTAAAAGAAAAGCATAACTCAAACTTGACACATGCAAGATGCTTACGGAGTTGGATATAAATGCGGCTCCAGTTGTTGGGCTATGGAAAGCAGGAGAACTGTTTGTTGCTGCAAACTGGCTGCCAGATGTCGTTTGGAAAAAATTATTTGGATGAATAGTCATACCCGTAGGCCCTTGTCCCTGAAGCTAAAATGGTGTCGGCTACGGGTCAAGCATGCTACTAAACAAAAGATCTGTACAATTATGTAAATATTCTAAAATCATCAGTGACTCAAAGGATATATGACTTTGTGTGGTACGTAATTTGGCGAAAAATAATCATCTCTGTGAGACTTGTGTGAATATCTAGATATTTAAGGTCAAGAAAATCCAAAGTAATGTTGAATTCAGAGGATGGAACTTACCTGCATTGCAGATTTCACATCATCCTTTATTAAACCAACACGATCACCAAGGAGTATATGATCAAGCTGAAATTTCTTACAATTTGTAGGAATCAATCGAAAAAGTAGTAAGACTGTAGTTATGATGTGGTAAATTTCTTACGCAAAAATCGATTTTCTCGATTCAAATTTTTTTTCTCTTGGCTTCTTTTATGTACTCAAAGGCGCCAATTTAAAAGTACAGCGAAAATAATAACCAGCAAGTACAATGCTATCAAGAACAACCTGTTGTGGAATGGAACCGTTTAGATTTCCAGTCTGAAAATATGTGGGCAGCAAATTCTGATTCATCGTTTCCAACACACACACTTGAGGGAATAAGCTGAAAGCGAGAGAGCGATAGAATTGTCAGAAAAAAATTCGAATGAAAAATTTCTACGAAACGCGCGATAAGTGCAAAGAAGACATTCCGTGTATCGGAAATGGAGAAAAATGGTATCAGCTTTTTACGAGACTTCATATACAAAGTATTGCAAAATTTCGCTCTCACGGATCGCTGTAATCGTAATAGAAAGTCGCGGAGAAGAAGTTTGTAGTGCTGTCATACGAACACTTTTTTCGTGTAAATTAGTAAATGAGTAAAGTGGGTTACAGTACACCATTGATGTGCATAAAAGGCTTTCTCTCTCGTCCTCTTCCTATTCAACTTGATCTTTACCGTATCAGAAAACAGATTCATTTATAGATGACTGACTATCTCTATGCATGTGTGTGTGTTTGCTTGACAAAAAGATGCAAATAAAAGTTACAAAGCGAGTGAGGAGTGAAATAACTGTTTAAGAGCACCCTATGCAAGACACAATGAGCTTCATAGACACCGAGAGCTGGTCAACCATTAGTAGCTTCAGCATCACTATTTGCCGTTTTGATGACAAGACAGACTGACTGATTATAGGGCCTGCGCAGACTACTATTTGCTATTGCTATCTTAGATCGAGCATATATGTAAATTTGTAAAACTCATTAGAAGGCATTGCTTGTTGATATCTGTATCTTTATTAGCATAATAACATAATGTAACACATATATAAAGCAATGAAAAATCGTGGAGTCAAAAAATTGAGAAAGGTAATTAGGGACAATAATAAGAAAGCAAATGTCTGCTTGTCTAAGTAAGCAAGTAAGTAAGACCTGCACAAAGTGTAGAGTAATGTTAGTATAGTGATACTAGCGGTTGTGGCTGAGAGAGCGTAATGAAAGCAAAACGTTTGGAAATTTGAGAATAGAACATAATGGAAGGAACAGGACGGAATAGATTAAAATAGAATGAAGATGAGATGGGATTGGGATGGAAATGAGATGGGAACGGAATAATGCAATAAGATAGGAAGGGATGGGGGACCGACCCGCGAGGGGCAAACAAACGTAAACGAAAGAAAAGGCAAGGAAAGGAAGCGAAGGAGCGGCGAGCAGAGGGCCAGCCAGACAACGCACTACACTGAGCGGCGCACCGCAGGGAGAGCATCCACGCCTGGGCGGAGCTTCTCCACATATGCCACTAGCACAAGACAGTGCGATCAATGAATAAATCCAGACGAGCAATAAGCGAGAGAACAGTTCAGAAAGGGAGCACGCGGGCAAGAAAGAGTGCAGAGCCTGCTGTTGTCAGGCACTGGTATTGAGTGCGTGTGCTAGGTTGTGTGCAAAGTGTTTAGAGAAGGTGTGAAAGGGAGGATGCAGGGGAGCCGAAATGGCACAACGCAAGAAGTGGAGAGAGAGATAGGAAGTGAAGACGGCAGGCAGGCAGCTTGTGGAGAGGGAGAGGAGGATGATGCATAGATGAACACGAAAACGAGGGACCGTCTTTGAATGTCATCTCGACTCGCTTCTTTTGACAAGACAAGACGGGCAGAACGCACAGCAGAGTCTCTATTGTATGTGCTATCTTTGTAGAGGTGCAGACGGATAAATTGCGATGAGAGAGTTTCTCAAAAGTGATTTTCTTCTTGCTTGTCGTTGTTATTAATTTGATGGCGAAAAAGATAGGTAGTTAAATAGTTGGAGAGGTAGTTATCGTCGTCGCTGTCGCTGTCGCTGTCGTTGTCGTTGTCGTTGTCGTTGTCGTTGTCGT